TGAGACCTTTGATGAATTTTATGCGAAGTTAAGTGACATTGTAAATTCCAGCTTCAATTTAGGTGAAAAAATACCAGAATCCAAAGTTGTGGGAAAAATTTTGAGATCCTTGCTCGATCGGTTCCAACCAAAAGTTACAGCTATTGAGGAGGCTTAAGATGTTGACAACCTCAAGCTGGATTAGTTGGTTGGAAATCTCCAAACTTATGAGGCGCATAGGAATTTCAAAAAGAAACAAAAAGATGCTATTGCTTTTAGTTGTGCTCATAGAGTTGGAGAGGATTCTGATGAGGATTCTGATGAGGATTGTGAAATAGATTCCAAGATTACGGCTGCTTTTGTTAAACAATTTAAAAAATCTTTTTTGAAAAAGAATTTTAATCTTTTGGAATCTACTCATACTCATAAATCTAAAGGCAAAGATAAACTCAAAATTAATTCTATAGCCAAGAAGGAGAAATGAAAGATACAAGAGAACTCTGAAAGAGTCCAATGCTATGAATGCCAAAGGATTTGGCCACTTTGCTTCAGAATGCCCCACTCGTTTGAAGAAGAAGAAAGCCCTTGCCATCACTTGAGATGATGAATCAGAATCTGATGAAGATGAAAGTGACAATGAAGATCATGGCAAAGAGGGACATAAACAATTCCTTGCTTTTATGGCGGCTTCCGAAACTGAAGGACGAACAGAGTATCTGAAGAGCCTGGTTGAGAATGCCACTGATGATGAATCCTCGGGAAGTGATGATGAAAAGCTTGAGCAAGCTTATGAAAAGTTGTATAAGGAATCTCTTAAGTTATCCAAATTGAATGACAAACTCACTATGAAACTCACAGTATGTGAAAGTGAGAATGTCAAACTAAAGGAGGAGATTTCCGAGGCTAGGATTGATGCCATCAAGATAGCTAATGATCGACAAGCTCTTTGTGCAAAACTTTTGACTTGTGAGACAGAGAGGAACGAGCTACAACAAATCTATGCAACATATGAAGAAAAAATTAAAACCCTCGAGATGTCTCAAGTTGCTTTGGAAGAACTAATGATCAAGAAAGAGGAAGAACTCAAGTGGGCTATGGCTACCATTGGTCCTTGGAACAGAGGATCAAAGACTTTGGACAATATCATTGGGTCTCAACAAATTTGTTCTGACAAGAGTGGCATTGGCTTTGGTGATAACAAAGAGCAAAAACAGAGTGCATCTACATCTCATAATACAAGAACTCAAGGAAAGGGAGAACAAAAAGTTCAACATAAGGATGGACTTCTCAAACTTCCTAAAGTTGGTAAGGTAAAAGAAAAGAAGGTACACCCTGTTTTTATTTGTCATCATTGTGGTATGCATGGTCATATTCGCCCTTATTGTTATAAGTTGCATGGGAGAGTGTCTCACAAAGATGGAAGAAATTCTAACATCTCATGGGGTAAGAGACACTTCATCGGTCGTAAGGAGGTTAAGGGTCATAATAAACCTTGCTAATTTGATTTGCTTCAGACCAAAAATGAACAGAGGTTGTGTTTACCTAGACCTAGAAATAGGAAGTTGGAAACCATGTCGAGACAGGTTCCTATTGAAAGGGAAGGGAACCACAATGTCAAGACACCACCCAAGAACTGCAATTCTCACAACTTTGTTCGTACTAAAGCAGTTTGGGTGAGAAAACTTGACTTGTGTTAATTTTTTGTCGTTTTAGGTTTTGGGTTTTTGTGTGTGTGTGTGTGTTTTTTTTTGTCATTACATGTGTGCTTGTTCATTTTTTTGTTTTGCTTTATTTTTGAAAAAAAAAAAATCCCAAAAAGATTTTCTTAGTATGGTTTTGTAAGCTTGAAATTTTTGAGTGGTCCTTGGTGCATATTGGAATTGATGAGAATACCCATTACATGTTAATATATGCGTGCTTTCTGTGGTCATTACTCATTTTGGAGTATGAGTTTTTTTGATTAGTATGTCTCATTCTGTACACACTCTTGGATTAGCATATTTTGGAGTCTTTCGCCTTAGTGATTATTTTTTTTCTATGGATTTCTGTCATTGATCTTTTGCGTTTCTAGAGGAATTGACCTATACTAGCATATCATGGGTGATGTTGAGTCTCTTAACCATCTTCCATCTTTTTGCATCTCCACGGCTTTCCCCTCTATTCTTTGTAGTCCAGCCATGAGGAAAAGGCTACCTTAGAGTCACCAACCAGGCCATCCTTATTATATCCATGCTTCTCTGGTTCGGTTTCCATACTCTTGAGCGTGTCAACCGCCGATGAGTGTGCAAAAGAAAGAAAAGATATGCAAAAGAAAGAAAAAAATGTGCAAAAGAAAGAAAAAAAAAAGGAAAAAGTAAAGGATTCATTGATTGAGGGAGAGCCTCCGCCTTTACTCACCAAATACCCCTTGATTCCTAGTGGTTTGACTTTCCGTAGTTGTGCTTAGATTCTCTTGTCAGAGGTCCAGCTATCAGATCACTACTAGGATTTGAATCTTGTGTTTGTCGAACTCCAAGAGTCACACACACACTTTTATCATGGGAACTATGCTTTTCACATGTGGCATCACTTTTTTTCATGAGGAATCTTCTACAGACTGTGCACACTATGTTTACTAGTAATTGTGCTTCTTGGATAGTCTTGTGTGTTTTAAGATACTAATTTGAAATTCCTTGCTTTGCGCCACCATATTATTTTTGTCGTTTTCTTTTTGTTCATTGTTTTCAGTGTTTGTGGTCGCTTTTAGTGAGGAGGAGTTTGCTTTATCATTTTGATCATCATGTCATTGCTTGTGTGGTTTCTGATCTTGGTTTAGTTAATTGAGCTTCCTTTGTCAATTCATGACAAAAAGGGGGAGTGAGGTTGTCCGGTGCATGTTTCTTAGGTTTTATCTATTCATGCTACATGTTTTTTAAAATCTCCAAGCCGCATTTATTCATGTTTTCTATCTTATGCTTCAAGATAATCTTGTCTTATGTTTATTGTTTTTTTCCTATACTCTTGTGGGACTAATAGTTGTTCTGGAGATTGTGGCACTAATAACTGTATTGCAGATCATGACCTTGAGAAAGAAGTTTGCTTTTGTTGGCTGTAATGGGTTGGGGTGTTTAGGATTTTATTTGCTAGGTGTGTTTTGTCACGGCATTGCCAAATGGGAAGATTGCTAGGTTTTTATTCTTGGCAATCCCGTTTGACAAAACTCCTTTATTTTCACACTTTTTTATTTTAGTGAGGCTATGAGTTTTTAGATGCGAATCCAACCCGAATTGTGCCTTGCAGAGAAGTTTGTGATGATTAATACTTTCAAGATTGCCACTTCACTGATTATGACGGGGATCGAGCTGCCCGGTCAGCTCGTAGGGGTCCAGGGAGCAGCGCCCCTTGGCGGGTCTGCGGCAGCGCCCAGGCGGGGTCGAGGGGCAGTGCCCCCGAAGCAAAATGCAAAATTGCATTTGAAGTTGCATGTCCGCCCTTGCTTGCTCGAGCGAAGACTACGTCTGGCAAAAAACCTGAAAGAGATGAATGTGCGTTCGAACGAAGCTTGCGTGGCTCAAGCGAAGCCACTTACGGAAAACACTCGTTTTTGGTTCCTCGCTCGAGCGAGCCTCGCAGTTCCAGATTTCTATAAGTACGGGTTTCTGTCAGATTTTAGGATTACTTCTCCAGATCTTCTTTTTGGATATTAGGGTTTATATCTGGGGATATTTTGCTGGTTTTCTTTGATATTTTGATTGAGTATTCAACTTATGGTTTAAAGAGTATACATCAAAGGATTATTTGTTTGTTCTACACAAAAGAGAGAGTTGTTCTTCGGTGGATTCTGAAGAATTCAAGCTTGAAGCTCTGGTGGATTCTGGAGTGGCTTATGGTCAAGACAATTCTGAGGTGAAGATGGGGTTGGAAGAGGCACATAGGGGTTGGTTTAATTCGGGCGTGGATTCGCTAGGTAATTGAGAGTATGCCTATGTAATTCCTTTATATCTTCTTAGTGAATTGTTTTGTGGCTGTTGCCCGTGGTTTTTTTTATCACAATTGGAGGTGTCCAATTGTGGTTTTTTCACGTAAAATCGTTGTGTCGATTTGTCTTGATTGTTTGATTGGAATTGTTGTTTACTGTTTAAAATTGATACATAATCACAAATCAACATTAGAGGTCTTTCTAGATTTTTCACATTTAAATTATGAAACCAATCCGAACAAAACCATTTAAACATGGTTAGGCTTGGTTTGGAACTACAGATTGACATAATCTTTTAACAAAGAAAAATCATATAACATTTTCATTTCAATATGAATCTGCCCATAATTTTTTTAAATATAAACACGCATATTGTTCCACTATTAATTTAAATAAACATAATATACAGTACCACAGCAATAATAGTAGCAGTTATCACCAAATTCCAAAACAAACTAAAACTGGTTCCATCATTACAGCATTACAAAACTAAAACTAAAAAATAACACAACAATAGCAACAAAGTGACTGCCGCACACTCAAAGAAGAGAAGAGAATGAAATGTTATGAATTAGCGTTTTCGTTTTATATATAAGAGGTAAGGATAGTATATATTAGGAATATATGGTATGAATATAGTCTAAGTTGCATACGATGTGGATCGGTTCCAATCTAGAACCGTGAAGTGAAATCCGAAACCAATCCGTGGGAAACGGTTCCTCAATTTTCCAATCTAGAACCAGACCATGGATTCAAAAATCCAGCCCAAACCTATCAGATTAGAATGAATCGGTTCAATTTGTGAATTTTATAAATTCTTTCTCAATCCTAGTTTGAAGGATTGAAATTGATATATTTTTATAGTTAAAAAGTCAAAATATACTAAAACATAAATAATTGTGAAAAATCTAAAAACCCTCAAGATAATGATTTGTGGTTATGATTCAATTTAAAATAACGAATAACAATCCCAATCAAAATATCAACAACAAATTGGTATAATAATTTAACGTGAAAGAAATCACAATGGGACTCCTCCAATTATGATAAAAAACTATGGATCAAGACAACAAAATAATCCATTAAGAAGACAAAAATAATTATACATGAGAATTCTCAATTACTTAGGAATCTACACCAGAATTGAACCGAACCTGATGTGCCTTTTCTACTATCGTCTTCATCTCAGAATTGTGTTTCCCAATGTTGAATCCACAATGCCGCCGTTGAATCCTTGATGATGAGCAATTTTGGAATTCATCAAAGCTTCAATCCAAGTTCCTCGAAATTCACCGATGAACACCTCTTTCTTTTTGTGAATAAGAGAACAAAACCAAGCCTTGATGTTCATCAATATGTAGTTTATTGATTATTCGATCACCTCCTATACATCAAGGAAAATTATATATAAACACCCTCCAATATTGAATACTTCGTTTTTTCATCATCTCTAAGAATCTAGACGGGTTAAATCCTAAAAATAACAAACAACACACTTTATACTAAACAGAGTCGTAAAGACCGCTCGAGCGCTCACTTTACCGCTTGAGCAGTGTGACTAAAGGCGATACTCACATATAGATTAACCACTTACAACATCTATTGCTCGAGCGGTAAAACATGTTTTCCAGAAGTTTTAAATGCAGGCAGAGATATTGGATGAACCACTTCTTCGCTTGAGTGCAAGAAAGACCGCTCAAGCAGTTAATCAACTTTGACTTCTGATCCCTGTACTTAGTTAGCAAAGTGGCAAACAATGAATGCCTTAGTCAAGATACAGAATGTCTTGTGACGACCCCGCCACTTATAATATTTTATATTTAATTAATCAAGGAGATTTGAATTTTAATTAGCTGACCGATTTCTTACTTGACTTCTTAATCAATTACTAGTAAATCAATGACTTATTCTTTAACCCACTAATATATGTTGATTGATAACTTATTAATCTTCATTGAGCCAAAAATTATGTCTAGAATGCTTGGAAAGAAATGAGAATGAAAATAAGAAGAAGATGTAATTTTCCAAAAATGTTGAAAAGGCTTGACTGCTCGAGCCACCACTTGGTCGCTCGAGCGGACTGCATAGTCTGTAAAAATACTGGGAGTTTGAAATGTTCGCTCGAGCGGTTTGTAAATTTTTTGGGTTTTCAAAACTGAAGATTTAGCTCCCAAACTTTATTTCAAAACTTAAGTTCATACTTGTCTCAATTTAAATATGTAATTTCATTAATAAATGAACTCATGGCTAATTTTAAATTATAAAACAAAAACTTCTTTGATTTGTCAAACTCAAATTATAATTTATTTCTTACTTGTCCAAATTTAGAATCAATTCATTTTCTTCATATCAAACCCAATTTCAAACTCATAAATTCTAACTAAACACATGGATTAAGCTTTCAAAATACAATTCCAAAACTTGAGTTCATACATGACTTGTCTAAAAATATACAAACTCTTAAATAATCGAAAAAAAGGGATAAATTTTAAATCATTTATATCAAAACTCCTTTAATTTTAAAAAATTAAGCTTTTTAATCTTAACTCAATTTTTAACCCAAAACTTAATTCTTTATAGGGTAAATTACATAACACCCCCTAAACTTTGATTAAAATACAAATCGCGTCCTGTGGTTTTGAAAATTACATTCCACCTCAGAGGTTTCTAATTTCATAATAGATTGCCTCTTTTATTAATAAATTATCAAGTCAATTAATTATTTTTAATGATGTTAAAAATATGTTTCAATTAATAATTTAGGTAATTTTTTTATTATATAGGAGAGCAATTATGAATTTTATTTTTTTAGTTAATTCTGTTAAATAAAAAATTCTAATAAGAGGATATTTATAATTTTTCAAATCATATAGAAAATCTGTATTTTAAGCAAACCTTAAGGGTTGTATTTGTAATTTACCTTTTTTTTATAAGACTTTTCCTTCTTCTCTTCAAAATATGAAATTAAATAGCTCAAAGTCTTCTTGCTAATTTCTTTTTAATTACATGAAATTGACCCTAATTACCTCTTAATTTCAGCTTCTAGATGATTTATCTACAAGGTTTGAGTTTTAATTTTTTACCTAAAATTTTCAACTTGACGAATTCTTGACAAAATCTTGAACTCATCTTCAACGTTGTACTTTTCCAAGCTTTTCCTTAGCCTTTCTTCATCATTTCCAGTACATATATTTGAATTCTCTCTCTCTCTCTCTCCGCCTCTCTCTCTCTGTTTTTCTCCCCCCCCTCTCTCTCTCTCTCTCTCTCTCTCTCTCTCTCTCTCTCTCTCTCTCTCTGCATTTCTTATTTCTTCCATCAACTTCCTATTCTTGACTTCACTGATCTCGTCTCTATATATATATAATTACATAATGAGATACCTATTTTCATCGACCAATCCAAGTGATTGTATATTAACTTATATATATATATATATATACTTTCATTAGTTAATTAATCTTGTTTATGTTTCATTAAGAAAGATAAATCCTTGACCATAACTGCTTTAATTAGTCTTAATTTAATCTAATTTCTCCAAAATAAGTCTTAATTTAATCATTCTTAATTTTATTAATCTGAATTAAATTTTTAATTAAACCCTTATAAGGCTGTACATATTAAACTGATTTAAAATAAAATCCCCTATTAGACGAATCACTACATGAATTCTAATTAATTAATCATGTATAACTCCATTTATTTAGAATTAATCGTAACTAATCACAAATTCCTCAACTTCAATTAAGGCCCAATCAATCATAATTAAATTTATCAATCTGAATCGGATTTTTAATCAAACTCCCAAAAGGCTCCAAATATTAAATTAAACTTATTTCCATTATCAATTTTAGTTTCCCAAATCATTTAAGCCTGATCAGACTCAAAATTTCCGTCAATAAATTACATATTCAAATTGGGTACCTCTTAAGTAAATTTAATTCAGAATAACCACAATTCCCAATCCTCATAATTTAATTAACTCAAACTTGGACCCAATTAACCAAATCTTAATTTTACTAAAGTGAATCGAATATTTAATTAAACTCCCATATGGTCTAATACTCGAAATTAAACTGATTAAACTCATCAATTTCACATTCTTAAGCCATTTAGGCTTTCAATTTCTAATTCCAAAATAACTCTATTATAAAATCATATACGAATCAAACCCAATAATATTTAGACATGATTAATTAATTAGAATTCAGGTAGTGATTCATCTAATAGGGGATGTTATTTTAAATCAGTTTAATATATAGAGCCTTATAAGGGTTTAATTAAAAATTTGATTTAGATTAATAAAATTAAGAATGATTAAGTTAAGACTTATTTTGGAGAAATTAAATTAAATTGAGACTAATTAAACCAATTATGATCAAGAATTTATCTTTACTAATGAAACATAAACAAGATTAATTAACTAATGAAAGTATATATATATATATATATAAGTTAATATACAATCACTTGGATTGGTCGATGAAAATAGGTATCTCATTATGTAATTATATATATATAGAGACGAGATCAGTGAAGTCAAGAATAGGAAGTTGATGGAAGAAATTAGAAATGCAGAGAGAGAGAGAGAGAGAGAGAGAGGTGAAAAGAGAGAGAGAGAAGTTCCCCGACCCCGAAAAATTCCCCAGCCAAAAAAATAAAATAATTTAGCTCCAGAAAATACAAGAAATTCTTGTATTTTCTTCAAACTACAACAACACCTTAGCAAATGAACAAGAAAGAGAATCCAACTATCCATCCGCTCCACGCTAGAAGTGGAAATAAGGAAGCACCTTTACATTCAAGTTTTTGCACATCGGCTTATTCTCGTCAAAATTGACTTTAAGGAACAAAATTTCAAGGTGCTCTGCGGCAGTTTTGCAAAGCTGAAAAATCCAATACAAAATACATCAGGCAAAAAGTAATCTCAAATACAAAAACCAATTTCAAAACAACAACAGATCTTCATCTTCATCTTTATCATTTTCTAGATCTGAAGAACAAAAGCAAAAAACAGAGAGAGAGAGAGAGAGAGAGAGAGAGGACCCTTTGAAAATCGGTAGTGAGGGAGGGGCAGTGAGCAGCAGCCGTTGTGTGTGAGAGAAAGAGGGAGGCGATATCCGTCGTGTCAGAGGAGGCGATGAATGATGAGAATGAGGCGACGGTGATGAAGAGCATGTGACGGAGCAGCGTATTGCCGCGAAGGGGGAGACGATGCCAATTGCGGAGAGAAAAGAGAGTGAGAGAGAGAAGAGAGTGTCTCAGTGTCTCTATGAACCCCTAACCCTAAAATGAGAAAAGAAAGAGAGAAAACATATATATATATATATATATATAGAGACAGTGGTACAATGATAATTTCATATCGGGGGGAATCGGGTACGGGGCCAGAGACGGGCCGAGTCTGAGGCTGTGGAACGTATCACCATCCCTAGCCTGAAAATGGTCGGGGATTCATTTTCGAATACCATCCCCTGTCCGTTGAGGGTATTTTTCAGAGAAAAACCGTTCCAATCAGGGTCGGGGGGTAATCGGGTCGGTTTCACATCGCCATCCCTATATACAATCACATGGATTGGTTGATGAAAATAGATATCTCATTATATAATATATATAAATAAGAGATCAGTGGAGTCAAGAATAGGAAGTTGCCGGAAGAATTTAGAAATGCAGAGAGAGAAAGAGAGAGAGAGAGAAACAGAGAGAGAGGCCGAGAGAGATAAAGAGTGAGAATTCAAAACTTTGTGTTGGAAATGATGAAGAAAGGTAAGGAAAAGCTTGGAAAAGTGCAAGATTAAAGAAAAGTTTAAGATTTTGTCAAGAATTTACCAAATTGAAGATTTTAGGTAGAAATTAAAGCTCAAATCTTGTAGATAAATTATCTAGAAGCTGAAATTAAGAGGTAATTAGACTCAATTTCATGTAATTAAAAGAAATTAGCAAGAAGATGAAGAAGAATGAGTTAGGTTAATGAATATGGAAGTTGATCTCATAATATCATCAAATTGAGTTTGATTTTGAACACTATGAAGTAGTTGAGTTTTATACTTACATGCATCATGGATTTTGAAGACATTGAGCTATTTAATTTCATATTTTGAAGAGAAGAAGGAAAAGTCTTAGAAAAAATTAAGGTAGCGTTTGGTAGAGTTTTAGAAATATGATTTGAAAATAGAGTTGTATTTTGAGTTTGTGAGTTTTAGAATTATAACTCCAGTGTAGAAATTTTTTTTGATTATGAGTTTTGAGAATGAATTGAGTTTTGAGTTGAATGTTGAATTGAGTTTGAATGCTTAATGTGAAACGTGAAATAAAAAAATTTGTTTAGTTATGAATTTTGAAAATAGTTTTCAAAACTTAATTCAAAAAGCTATAATTCATAACCGAACACATAACTCAAAACTTTATTGAAATTTTTGATCAACAGCCATAACCAAACATTTTTTTTTTAAAATTCAATTCAAAAAATTAATTATTAACAAAAAAATAACACTCATAGCCAAACTCTTTTTAAAATTCAATAGAAAAAATTAATGATTAACAAAAAATAATAATCATAACCAAACTCTTTTTCAAATTCAATTCAAAAAATTAATTATTAAAAAAAATTAACATTAACATTAACATTTTTTTAATTGAAAATATTACAAACAAAATAATTTGAAGGTCACAATAAATATTCAATTATTGATCATACCGAACTTTTGATTGTATATTTAGTTCGAATTATGTTTTTTTTTCAATATTTTCCAATTAAAATATTTTTATATTTTTAATAATTACTATCATAAATCATTTGTTATTTAATGCATTGTTATTTTCAAGTAAATGACTACAAAATTTATCAGTATTATATATATTAGGAGTCAAACAAAAATTTGAATATCATTTAATTAGCATCTACGCAGCACACATAATTCAATATTATTGGAATTTCTTCATTTGCTAATATCATTTGATTAGCATCTACGCAGCACACATAATTCAATATTATTGGAATTTTTTTATTTGCTAAATTTCATCAATTTCGTGGAAAACTCAGGCATCCTTCATCATTTATATCATCTGAATTCAACCAATAACTTTTATATCAGTTCAAAACGACTAACAACTTCATTACTTCAATACAACCACCAACTTCTTCACCATCTTTATTTACTTTCATCAGTTTCATTTCAATATAACCGCCAACTTCAGTAAACATACAACCACCTTCATTACTTCCCCCACCACCTACCTCATTTAATTTCACAAATTTAGTCCACCACCCACCTCAATTAATTTCACAAAATCAGTCTATATATTTACAAATCATATCCGTGTAAAAAAAGAAGAGAGGAAGAGCTTTGATGAATTTCAGAGCTTCACAACAGCAGCCGAATCCAAATTCAGCCCACTACCTACCTCAATTAATTTCACAAATTCAATCTATATATTTACAAATCATATCCGTGTAAAATAAGAAGAGATGAATCGTTCCATAGTAGCTGCACAGAACAGCAGTCGAATCGTTCCATAGCAGCTGCACAGAACAGCAGTCGAATCGTTCCATAACAGCTGCACAGAACCGGTCAACCGAGAGGTCAACCAGGGGGTCTTCCAACCGGTCAACCGGTTACACCTGTTCCCAACTTTCAACAAGGCTCAACCTGAGGCTTCAGTTTTGCTATCCTATTGCACACCATTTCTTCGCAATAGTAGCTGAAACCTTCCACACCTTTTGCTTACCTTTTGCTATCCTTTTGCTTACCTTCAGAAGTCTTGCCTAGAACAAAAAGAGCAAGACCAGAACATGGCGAAACCTCTAACCCTCCACCACGCCAACAATAGCATGAACAGGTTTATCCAACTACTGATTTGCTCACTTATAATCATGAACAAGCTTTTCAACATTTTTGCAACCGGCCAATTGTCACCAGGAGAAGGGTAAATCTTGCTCCTCAATATGATCCTCTGTTGGTTTCCAAACTTGAGATGATGGGGTTACTAAATTTAATCAATTTACCACAAAAGGTATATCCATGTCTTGTGTATTTATTTTATCTTCACTTGAGACTTACTGAAGGAGAAGATGGAGACTATTGTCTTACATCTTATGTCAAAGGTAAAACAATCACATTTAACATTCACACTTTGGCACAAATTATTGGAGTTCAGCCAGGGAATTTGCAAATCCATTTTCAGAGTGAGTCTGACTTGCTTGACATTGTTGGTGATATAAGTGAAGTGTATACTACAATTTATGAGAGGTGATTTACCGGCAATAATTTACACATAAGACGTTTGAAACCCCACCTTCGTATTCTCCATTGATTCATAGCAGAAAATATGACTAAAAAAAACAGGACATTTTGATACAGTTCCAATTTTTAATGCTTATTTGTTATATTATTTTCAAGTAGGATATAAATTGGATTTATGCTACATACTAATGAAGGAATTGATAGTTGCAAATCTAGGTAGTATTAGTGGCCGGTCACTAGTTTTTGGAGCTCTGCTAACCAAAATTTTCAAAGCTTTTCATGTTAGACTTGTAGGTGAAGCAGAGACTAAAATCACTTCACCGATTTTAGAGTACACACTTACCCGAGCTGGTGGCGCTGAAAACTTATTGGGATCTTTGAATGTTGGAAATGCACCAATAGATGATGCTCTCGAAGACCCCAATGCCAATGCCATGCCACAAAATGAACAACCGCAATACTGGAATGATTATTTGGCAATGGAACAATAATGACATAATCCATGCATTCAATGGGAACAACAAATGGCTAATCAGTTCAATGCATTGGATAATCAGTTCGATGCATTTGTCGCCGCTCAGAACTCACTTATTCAGCAATTTGATGAGTTTCGTGTGGACACTAAGAGACGTCATGAAGTGACAAGCAAGCGCATTGATCAAATTGACCATCGAGTCAGTCAGATCTACCATCAATACTTCCCTCCACCTCCACCACCACCTGACAATGACATTTGACGTGTTTGGATGAGCGATTAGATGTATTCCTCAATCTGCGGTATTTGGTTGTTTTGAAGATGTACTTCTACTTACTTTTTTTTTAATTGTTGTGTTTGTTGTACTACTTTTTATTTTTATTTTTTCTAATTACCTTTTTTATTGATGTATTTGTACTGTCTCGTCACTAATTTTTTTTGTTCATGGATATAAGTACCTGTTTTTGTTGTAATTTTTGTATTTGTCTTTTAGTTTTGTTTTTAGTAGTATAATCCATTTTTTTGTAATTAACGTATTGACCTCATTACATATTTAGTGTTTGCTTGGCATGCACTAAAAAAGTGTACTTTTTTGCATACATACACTTATTTGGGTCACATTTATTAACATCTTTCAACATCTCCTCTCTACTTTTCTACACATTTTTATTTTTATTTTTATAAAAGTCAAAAAATGCACTTATTTAGAACATCCCAAACATCTCCTTAATTTCCTGTGGGGTTGGTGAAACTTGGAAAATAGGAAAATGGTGGTATAAAAGAGGTAGGTGTATATTTGCTCTTGAGTTGTTACCTGCCATCAGCTCTTGACATGTTGGTGTAAATAAGCTACCTACCATTAGCTTTTTAGTTGT